TTTTGACTTGTGGGCCGGCCCGGCCCGACTCAAATTTTTCTGGGCACCCACGAGGATCGACATGAGCCGGGCCCCTACACATTGACGATATAAACATTTATATTGACGGTGTGAACATTCACATTAAGGGTATTTTGGTAATTATGTCACCCATAGGACTTATTGAAACATAAGAAAATAATGTGAACTAAATTGGACATAAGTAGATGAAAATGGTATTTTGGTCTTCTTATCTCAAATTGGACCTAATGGAATAGTCAAAAAGAATATGGATTGGATGGAATAAAACTCTTATAAAATGGATTTATCAAAAAAGCTCCCTAAATTAAATAATACAAAAAGTCAAAAAGTCACTATCATATTTAAGTCGCATCATCTTATTTAAATTACATCATCTCTCTAACACATCACATCAAACCCAATTTAAATCCAACCTATATAAATCAATAAATTAAAAAATACACTTTTTTAAAACATCTCAAATTAACTCTAATATTCATAACATTTTCCGTGTTTTAAGGGGTAGAACACTGCTTTCAAGAGAACCCAATACTTGGAGACACGTCTTTGGATTTGATGCTATGTCTATGTTCAACATGAGATAAATCTTTGGATTTGATGCAAAGGGGAACATCTGGTAATAGTTTGTTGATTTGGGGATTTTTTATTTTTTATTTTTTTTTAAATTATTACGACAGGTGTAACTGCAAAAAAATATTACGTGTGAAAAAAAATTAAAATTAAAATTATACTTATTAATATTGATAAAGTTGTCATTAATTTATAATTATTTTTAACTTATACACTGATTTGAAATTCTCTTCTTTCTTTTTTTTTTCTCTCTCTCTTTTTTTTTTTTTATCAATCAGTAGGAGATTACTTACAAATATGACTAACGGATGGCACACGCGATACATATGCAATAAGTAAAAATAAAAGAAAATAATATTATAATATGTACTTAGCTTAAGTGGTATGAGTCCTACATTAAACCTATGGTCATGGGTTCAAGCCTTACCCATCTCTTTGTGTATGTTTTTTTTCTTTTTCTTTTTTAAATAAAAAACAATGCCACATGGCATGAGGAGAGCAAAGGTTTCACTACACCAACTGAGGCCTTCACTTAATAATAGTATAGATATAGAAGATATATAGATAGATGATAACTATTACATCAAACTAGAAAATTAAAGTCCAACAATATACCAAGCTCAATAACCATAACCCTGTCTAACAATAAAACAAAGCCCAAAGTTGATAAGAATTAATCTACATACAATTCCTAGGGGTATAACAAACGATATCAAATTTCTCTTCATAAGAGTTGGAATCCGTAACTTTACTCCATAAAGTGGTGCTACATAACCATTAAGCCAAAGGCTGTGATTAGGATAAACTCTTAGCTAAGTTTTACTTTTTATAAAAAGATAATGATATATAAACAAAGTGTTTTGCAACAAGTGACCTAAGACATGCATTAAATACTATTAATCACCTCCACTATCATAGAAAAGAGGAAAGATTATAAATATATTTTGATAGAGACTAAACTACCCTTCTTACCAACTCCTATTTTAACATTATATACTTTTCATAATAGAGTATGTTTGTTTTTTTAACATTTTTTTTGATCATAAAAGTAAACGCCTTCTAAAATTTAAAAAATAAAAATTATAAGGTGCAAGGAAAATAAAGGACATAATTTTCATGATTTTTTTTTAATTTTCATATGTCCTTTATTTTATAACAAATACAAAAAATTATATTCCCTTTATTTTTTTTTCAATTTTTAGATTCATTTTTCTTGCACCATATAATTTAATTATGATTGAAAATAGAGGAGTAAATGCCTTCAAAAAAATTTAAAAAAAGTGAATGCTGTAAGGAAAGTAAAGGACATAACTTTCATGATTTTTTTTTTTAATTTTCATATGTCCTTTATTTTATAACAAATACAAAAAATTATATGCCCTTTATTTTTTTTCAATTTTTAGACTCATTTTTCTTGCACCATATAATTTAATTATGATTGAAAATAGAGGGCATTTAATTTTTTTTTTAAAAAAAAAACCACAAAATGCTATTTAAAAATAAAGGCATTTAATTTTATGATAAAAAAAATGTTTAAAAAAAGAAAAGAAAAAAAAGAAGCTCCATTATGAAAAGTATATAATGTTAAAATAGGAGTTGGTAAGAAGGGTAGTTTAGTCTCTATCAAAATATATTTATAATCTTTCCTCTTTTCTATGATAGTGGAGGTGATTAATAGTATTTAATGCATGTCTTAGGTCACTTGTTGCAAAACACTTTGTTTATATATCATTATCTTTTTATAAAAAGTAAAACTTAGCTAAGAGTTTATCCTAATCACAGCCTTTGGCTTAATGGTTATGTAGCACCACTTTATGGAGTAAAGTTACGGATTCCAACTCTTATGAAGAGAAATTTGATATCGTTTGTTATACCCCTAGGAATTGTATGTAGATTAATTCTTATCAACTTTGGGCTTTGTTTTATTGTTAGACAGGGTTATGGTTATTGAGTTTGGTATATTGTTGGACTTTAATTTTCTAGTTTGATGTAATAGTTATCATCTATCTATCTATCTTCTATATCTATACTATTATTAAGTGAAGGCCTCAGTTGGTGTAGTGAAACCTTTGCTATCCTCATGCCACGTGGCATTATTTTTTATTTAAAAAAGAAAAAGAAAAAAAACATACACAAAGAGATGGGTAAGGCTTGAACCCATGACCATAGGTTTAATGTAAGACTCATACCACTTAAGTTAAGTACATATTATAATATTATTTTCTTTTACTTATTTGAATTGCATATGTATCGCGTGTGCCATCCGTTAGTCATATTTGTAAGTAATCTCCTACTGATTGATAAAAAATAAAAAAAAAAGTAAAAATTATCCTTCATTTGAGCAATGAATTCTTAAATGTTTACATTTTTTTTGTTCCTCACTCCCTTTGTTCAATCGATTAAAAATCACAATCTTTACTCAATCAATATGAAATAATGATATCAACAACTAAATGACACCACCAAATTAACTTTCTGACTACGCCACTGCTTGCAACTAGAACATATATTTGTGTCATAAGTAAAACTTAGATATACTAGTTCTACTGTTCTAACACTCAAATGTATGACACAAGTGTATGGCCAAATCAAAGATTTATATGGCACCTACACATTATGTTACATGGACTATCCAAAATAAATAAAATATCCGTGTCAGACTCTTGACCCTCGGACAAGAGTGTGGGATATGTGTCGGATACTTTCCATGGGACACTTCACATATACTTGTATTTAAAACTTCTTATATGTATCATTTGTTGTGTATGGCTATAAAACACCTTTTTGATGCTATATGCTACATATAATACCATTTTATCTCACATAATAAATTGAAAATATAAAAATATGAATCTGCACCCGTAAATTTCATATTTGATGAGTCCGACCTCTAAATACGCACCACACCCAACACTCGTACCCGAATCCATGTAATTATAAGTTGTGAAAGTGCACAATTTACACATTTCCATAGGACTAGGGTTATTGTTTCCCCATCAAACACATTAGAATTTAGAACAGATTGATCAACATTCCTAGCCATATAGGTTATTTTTACCAATTATATAATAAAGCTTTACATTTGAAAAGCAAATAATAAGCATTAGAATGAAGGTACTCCAACCAATCCACTTGTCAAAAATATGTTGTATGCAATATTATTACAAACACAAAAGACTATACAGCACGACCAATATAAAAGTTCATTTATGTAGATAACCATCTAAAAATCCAATGACGAAACTGTTTTCCAGAGAACATGACTCCATAATTCTATTTCCAAAAAATTAATGAATCTCGTCTTCAAAAAGTTATCCTGCAGTATTGTTTACAGAAATAGATATGTCTCCACACAGTTATATAAGATTTTCTACGTTATTTCTTTCTGCCTTTTTTCTTTTCTTCTTTTTAAAGTGCTAGAGAGATAAACGGAACACGAATGCAGTATAGTTCTTAGCTATTTGATATTCTTTTCTTTTATTTTTTCACAAACTTTTTAACCTCTCTTTCTTGTAGATATTTCAACCTTTTTTTTTTTATATGAAACTTTAACCTACCATTTGGCCTACAATAAAATAGTTATAAGTTGATTTTCATAGACGTTAAAACCGATGCATCTTTCTTGCAGAACCTTCGCCTCTATTCTCTCTTTCAAACCCTTTATCTCTTCAACATTATCAGTCTTCTAGTAGTGGTATAATATGGGTAAGGATGTTAAAAGTTCGCAACGGAGAATATATAGTTTTATTGATCTGAAAGTTCACCAGTGAAATGAAGTATAAAAAATGTAAACAGAGAATATCAATGCCTAAATCAACAATGCTCAGTTAAGCAATGAGTTATGGTTCACAAAGTAGATTTATAAATGCATCTGCAAATTATGTCTTTGCACGATATATATATTATGATCCAATATATATACATGTCTAGACTTGAAGGGGTGTTCCAGCAGTGTGCATGGTGCATGCTCAAGATATTCTTCAGTGAGTATACTCTGCCATTTCACTGAAGCATCAAGCAGAAAGCATTCATGTCAAAGCTTCGTGAGCATTTATATTTCTATTTCATCAGTTTGAATTTAGTTACTTTCTAATTGAGTTACACACCAGTCCTTCTCAACCATGAGGGTCTCTGCTCTGCACTACTCATGCCATGTGTACTGTGCTTTTCAGAGGACATGCATAGATGAATCTGCATTCCTAAACCTAAAAGTCTTGACTCTTGACAGGAGTGTGAATTTCTGCCAGTGAATGAGCATGATCATGATATTCTACAGTGGACAACTCTGGACCACTTCACTGTCGTAACTACCTTGTCAAACTTATGCTAGCACTAATATTTCTTCGTTTTTTTTTTTTTTTTTGAACAGTTACTTAACCCACATGACTGTTTCTCTTGACCATGATATGACCAGATCAGGAATGCATGTTGATAAGAACTAACACAGAAACAACCCATACCTTTCTCTTGAAAATCCTTATCAGTTTTTACAAACCCTGCAACCAAAGCCCTTGGCAATGCTGCAACCCACTCATCTCTGTTGAGATCTGATGGAATAGCAGCCAAAACATTATTCAAGAGATTCTCCTCGGAGTATATAGCAGCAGCAGACCCATTGTGTCCATCAAATATCTGCAAAATAAGACAGTAGAGCAAACCATGGAAATTTCAAACAAAACTACAAAAAATAATGAAATAAATAAGGTAACTAGAATTAGTGATGAAAGATGGCACGCCAGTCTCCAAAGATTGCGAAGTGGGTAATCTACAATGATTGGCATCCATTAAATGAAATGTGCAAGCAAAGATAAAGACTAATGATCAGGTTGATGGCAGATAGTAAATGAACTATAAAGCTGAACTATATCTTACAGTTTCAAATAAAATATACAGAAGTATAACAGTTTATATACATAAATATACATGTAAGGAAGTTAATTCTATTAAAACAAATAATTATTGGTGAAAAGTACTTCACTAGAATCAGTTCCTCTCAGTTCTCAAAGAATAGAAAGGAAAGAAAAACACAAATAAAACATAGCTGCTCCTCCGGTGCGCTCCTAGTTCAACAAATGAGTTTGCTTGCCGGTGAGGACTAGCCTATTTCTTCTCTGGGACAAAGTTTGAAAAGAAGAAAACATACAAGACCGAAACCTAGAAACTAATGCCATGTTAGTAAGGAGAATGGAAAGAAGGAAACTAGATACCTTAAGGAAGGGATTGGGAGTCTTCTTTGTTATGTGTTTAATTGAGGAGAAGAAAGGGACAAAAGAAGATATTTTTTTCTAAAATGATTGACTATCGTTTATGAATGAAAGTTTGTTGTGTAAAATTGAGGTCAAAAAAGCAATTCCATACCTTCAAAAATCCACTCAACCTTTTTCCTCTCTTCTCCCCTCTCTTTCCCATCCTCACGTACCCAACCTTGGTTGTATGAGTTTTGGTGGGTTGGAGAGGAAAGGACATCCTCCTCTCCCTTCCCTCCCCTCCTTCCTCCCAAACGGTGGAACCGTCCACTTCTGTTCCCCTTCCACTTTTTTCTTGCCTTCTTTTTGCCATACCAAACATACCACAAGAGAGAAAAAAGTCTCGAGTGAAGAACTACAAATGTCAAAGACCAAAAATTCATGCTTTTAGATGAATGTCTCAAAAAGGTCCTAAAAATAGCCTTGATTTTCAGCTTCTCTAAGACTGCAAAGGAACACAAGCTTTGCAACATAATATGATCCCAAACTGCTAGAGGAAACAAAAGAAACACAATGGATTGCTAAGTAGATTTCACATACCACCAGTTCCCAATTGACTAGTACTAAAGAGAGCAACCATCACACTACAAATTTAGGAATTACCAAATGAAAAACCATTGGGATAAACGAACCCAAGAAGGCTAGAAGGCATGACTCTCTACAATATGCAATAGTTCTTATGGCTTGGAGATCATAAGAAATTGAAGCCCAAATGAAAGCAATCGACTTAATCCTATTCAACATAGAAGTCCAGAGTTTGCATGTGTATCTACTTTCTAGTTATCATTCTATTCATTTTGCCCCAAATGTCTGAATATATTATTCTAGATTTGCAGATTGGAAAAAGAATAAATTTGGCACATTAACTGAGATGCAATTCTAAGTTCCTCAGGAGCAGTATATATAACATTGGCACACTCAACAAAAGCATAAAATGAACCATGTTTATGATATTAATAGCAATTTAGTGGTTCAATATAAAGCTATGATAAGCCTTGATAAATAAGCATACAATATTTAACTAACTCCATTACACTATACAAACTTTGAGCTACTTAAGCTTTCAAAACATCTCTCTAGAAATATATTCACACCCATAGTTGTCAAATTAGGATACAAATCGTGTATCCCTTTTTTTTTTTCTTTTTTTCTTTTTTTTGAATCACGCATTGTATCATGTACCATAAGATAATTTAGCACCTTTAAAAATAAGTAGAAAAATAAATGTAGTTATAAAAAAAATATCTTACGGGAATAAAACAATGTATAATTTTTAAATTCCAGAAGTATAGTTCCTTAATTAAATATATGCATGCATCAATACATACTTTACTCAAATAGCTTGTCCATAATAAGTAGGCATAAATCAATAAACATGAAATACTCTAATAACATATAATAGATATTTGTCAAAATGGTAGAAAAATAAAACAAATGTACCATTCTCATATTCAAAAAAAACTCTTTTTTATTAAATTAATGAAAATTTTTGACAATATTAATTTAATTTACATAAAACAAGGTGAATAATTTTTTTCAAAATTACTAAAGACTTCAAAATTCCTCCTTACTCCCTCTTCTTTGAAAATTAAATTTTCTTTCAAAGTTCAACAATCAGCTCAACTTAAATATGCATACCACAAATTAAAACCAACTTCCTATCCATCCGCTAAAAACGACCAATCCCCAAACTAATGCTTTAATAACATTAATCTCTCTCTCTCTCTCCACAGTTAATGTAAACAATTGCCGATGAACTTTGTCATAACATCAAAAATCCAAGCAATATATCTTGAATGACTCCTCGGTCTATAACGGCTAAACCTCTAATATTGATACCATAAGCCTTCTTCCTAGGTTTGCTACCACACTCTTAAACAGTGTTACAGAAAATGTCGACACCCTAGCAAATTACATTTTGGAACGCACATTCCGAAACATGGTACACTTTTGTTCCAAAATAATAAATTTGGCAATCTAAAGCAATCCCAAAAGTTTGTTCCAATATATTTCCTTTAGGTTTCATTAGGAGTAAAAAAATATCAAATTTAATGAGCTAAAATCTAAGGTGAGTGTAATTTTAACATGACAAAACATAATTTTTTGTCATAATGTTCATAAAAATGTGTTGTCGTATGATTAATTTGGAAAAAACCTACATTTTATTGGATGTCTAATTGTTAAAAAATTCTCTAGACTTAGTATCTTAAATTCTAATAAAAGTGTACAATAGTACCACAATTTAAAACCTGTGGTGTACCACGTTCCCATTCTTGTTCTACGTATCGGAACAAATCACGTTCCAAGTAACATAGCTCTTAAATGCACCAAAGGACAATTCAGTTAGTACTGATTCATGACCATAGATACAGCATAACCGCATCGGTTTAGAAACACGAAAGATTTCCGTAAATATAAATGGCATGAAAACATACCGCGAAAACAGAATATGTAGAAACATCATCTCCTGCAACGACACGTTGGCATTCCGTCTTGAGAAATGTGAAATCCTCCCCTTTCTTACTTTGACAAGCCTGACCATGAGAAATCTCTGGCCTCTCAATCTTCTCATTGGCCAATTCGCGATTGAGCAACACAGAAAGCGGGACCGTCAGATGTTGACCCTTAGAGGACATTGTTCAGTTAATCCTCCATGCGCTCTTGTTCCAATCAAATCCACACAAAAATCCTAACCCAAACAACAAAGAACACATCATTCGAAGCTTTTTAACCAACAAATCCAACCAAAATACATACAAATCTGATTAGAAAGACTTGAAACAAAATTATCCAGATCGTCAAAAGAAATAACTGCACGAAGAATGGAAACAAGCAATTTCATGACCAAGAAGCATATATAAATAACTCAGGATACAAGAATTTACAACTTAATTTACGAAAGTGCAATGCAAGTCACATTGTTTGTTTGTAGATAATATGCTTTCGTTTAAATGCGATGAATAGGAGGCGAGAATGATTGAGAAAGAAGGAGGAAGGTGGAGGAAAAGAAAAAAGAGAAAAGAAAAAACTTACAGAAATAGCGTTCGTTGGCGCAGCAGGAGGAGGAGGAGAGAGTGAGTATGTATGTATGTATGTATGTATCATGTATGTATGATTGATGATTAGTTGCAGAAATCGAAATACGCGGATCCCACCCTCCGCGGCAAAAATTCCATTGTAGAGAGAGAAGAAGAAAGAAACACAAACCGAGTGAGGGGCGCAAATGGAGCTGTTGGGTCCTGGGTAAGGGAGAGTATTTTTCATCCGAACTCTACCTGACCCACAATTGTAATAATAAATAAATAATAATATTACATATATAATATGTATAGTATATTATTAATTTTTTGTATATAATATCTATACAATGTATTATTAAGTTTTTATTATGTTATGTATATATATTATATTATTTTAATATATGTCCAATATATAATATTCTTTTTAACGGCACTCGATTCATGAATTTAATTTTAAGTTTTCTTTGGCCAAAAATCTACCAGTTAAAATAGAAAAATTCTATTTTCACACATTTAATTACCTCCGTACACATCTTTTTTCAGTACACATATGTATTAATTTGATTATTAATTAATTTTCTCAATCCACACACTAAATGTTACAATTATACCCTTCACTCATAATCATTATACACACACTACTCAACCCTCCTTTCCACACAATTGTTTAGTGACCTTGTTTCCAAATTTATAGACCCATTGTGAATTTGCGTGAAAACCATTCAAGACCACAGTGTGAAATGAAGTGAAGTAAAGACAAAGTATTTCATTGAAGACTCTATTGAACCTCCATTAAAAACCCTCCAAAATATTGTTGAACATGAGACATCTTTTTATTTTGTTATTGCATTTACTATTTCTAGATCTCTGCGCATTCCATTGCCATAAAGCCCACGTTTTTTATTTTATTTTATGTTTTTCGGTTTGGGGATTTCAGCACTGATTTTTTGAAATTATATATTTAATTCGAAACTTAACTTCCTAATAAAAGTGATTAGTTCAACAAATTTGTTCCAAAAAAAAAAAAAAAACTTTTAGCAATTGATATTCGAACATAATGAAATAATTCAACAATTGATGTTTGAATATAATGAAATAATTCGGCAGTTGATGTCTAAATATAATAAAATAATCCAGCACTAGTTATCCGACTGAAAACTGCAAAAGGAAAAAAAATAAAAAAATAAAATCTGCACGGAAATCTAACATTTTCATCACTAATAGAGTATAAATTTTGAGATTAAAACAATATAAGAGTTGTTATGGGAGTATTGCTTTGCAAGCAATAAAGGAGTATAAAGTGTGTAGCAAGCAAAATGACAACAATGGAAAAAGTAAGGTTTAATTTATTTATTTTTTACTCAAAAGGTGTACATTAAGATTTTTTTATTTTTAAAAGATGTGTATAGAGAATATTTTTATATAATATTATGGGTGCTAGTGAATATCCATTATGGTCATTTTAATTTAGGGTATAATTGCAACTAAAATAATATTTTATTAAGTGTGTGCACTGAGATAATTAGGTGTGTGCAAATAGAATTTCCCGCTAAAATACTGTAGCCACAAGGGCATGCTTATACAAAATGACCAAAATACCCACATATATATATATTCTACCATGACTTCTGTTTATTTCCAACCCTCATTTCCAGATCACCCCAGCATATTTCCCAAACTATGCCATTCTCACAACTTTATTTCCACTCTAGGGTGGGTTTTTTTCTTTATTCCCATTAGAGGGTAAAACGGTTTTACCAATGCCGGTTTCTAGAAAACGGCTTTACCAATGCTATTTTTTGTGAATAAAAAAATAATAAAATTGCCCTACACAAAATCGGCTTTTCAAAAGCCATTTTTACTTAACTTGTAATTAATTCTAAGTTAATTAAAAACGGTTTTGGTAAAACCATTTTTTAGTATTTTTTTTTCCAATTTGTATTTTCAACATAAATATTGTTTGCCAAAAATATTTTTAATACATAAAGCAGTTTTAGAAAAGCCATTTTCTAATACAGCTTTACGAAAATCGTTTTCATTAACTATTTTTTTTTTTTTTTTTTTTTTGGGAGGTTAAAAGTGATCTGCTTCAACAGTCCGAAACACACACACACACTCTGCAGTTCAACAAACAACGACAAAGAGAGAGATGCGAAGAGCATTGTAGAGGAGGCGAAGAAGACAAAGGCCACTTCGAGAGCTGTAGCAAGAACGAAGAAGACGAAAACCTAAAAACATCCTCTCACCTCTCCCTTCCATCATCCACACCGAGGTTTGTTTTGGATAGATTAGGGTTTTGATTTTTGATTGGGGATTTTGAAGTTCAAAATTAGGTTTGTTTAGGACTCCAGACATTGACAACAAATTCTTTATGCTGTCATGTCTGAGATTGTAGTTGTACTGTACCCTAGCCCTCATCCCTTCAACCCCAAGCGACGGTTGTTTTGGACTGAGTTAGGTGTTATGCTTGTTATGGTCGAGTAGAGAGTTTATCCTGTGTATGTGTTGTATTGGCCCCTCTACTGAATGACTGACTTTCTTTTTTATTTTAGCCTCCAAATTTTGATTTTTGTGAAGCACCCATTCCTTCCCAGAACTGCGGTGTCAACGAACCATCCACTTGCCTTTGAGATTGTTTTTTCAACCCCCAAATGTTGTTTTTTGTGAACACCCCATTGCTTGACTTCCCATCAGTGTGGTCCTCATTTTGACTGGACTTCTAGGAATTGAATGGTGACTCTTATTGCTATCCTGGTGGAGAGGCTTAGTGAAGGGAAGTTTTTGACGGAGCTGCCTATTCTGTTTGTTGTGCCTTTATGCTAGGCACTTCGTCTATCTGAACTTTATTAGTCCCCCTAACTGGACCAACCACTTGCCTTTGAGCTTGTTTCTCTAGCCCCCAAGTTTAGGTTTATATCAACCCCCTCTTCCGTACCAGAGTCCTCATCTTCATTGGACTTCCCAGAATTGAATGGTGACTTTATCTTCTTGAGTTTCAGAGATTGAAATTCTTCACCCAGACCATCACTATTTGAAGAAGCCTAGTTAAGGAAAGCTCTTGATTGGGCTACCTGTTTTGTTTTTTATGCCATTAAAGAGGGCACGACATCTGTCTGAACTGCATTACCCATCTAATTGGACTAACCACTTGGCTTTGAGATTGTCTCATCAGCTCCCAAATTATGTTTTATGCCAACCACCCATTCCTTTCCATCAGTGTGGTCATCATTCATACTCGACTTCTTCCAGGAATCGCCTGGTGAATATTCCTGCCATCCTATCTGTTACTGTAATTCAACTTTACTCTGGCCCTTTTCAGTCAAAGGACCCTATCTCCCTCTACTAGAAACCCAACCATTTCCTTTGACGTCGTGTCATCTCCCAAATTCTATTTTTTGGGAACAGCCCACTCCTTGCTACCATTGGACTCACTTTTTTTATTAGAACTCTACATATTAGCGGGTGACTCATTCACATTCCCGGTTTGAGATTGTATTTCAACTTGACTACCCTCAGTATTAGAAGAACCCCAAGCAACATAAGCTTCTATCTCTAATTGGACTAACCACTTGGCTTTGAGATTGTCTCATCAGCTCCCAAATTATGTTTTATGCCAACCACCCATTCCTTTCCATCAGTGTGGTCATCATTCATACTCGACTTCTTCCAGGAATCGCCTGGTGAATATTCCTGCCATCCTATCTGTTACTGTAATTCAACTTTACTCTGGCCCTTTTCAGTCAAAGGACCCTATCTCCCTCTACTAGAAACCCAACCATTTCCTTTGACGTCGTGTCATCTCCCAAATTCTATTTTTTGGGAACAGCCCACTCCTTGCTACCATTGGACTCACTTTTTTTTATTAGAACTCTACATATTAGCGGGTGACTCATTCACATTCCCGGTTTGAGATTGTATTTCAACTTGACTGCCCTCAGTATTAGAAGAACCCCAAGCAACATAAGCTTCTAATTGTTACCTATTCTACATATTCAGACTGGACTATCTAAGCCCCCCAATTGGACCAACAACTTGGTTTGGACACTATAGGCCCTAACCCCCAACTATCTGTGCTATCCATATATGAACTGGGTTACGAGCTTGTAGAATAGGTTCATCTATCACTATGAACTGAAGTCACGGTTGTGAAGGACTAATATCTGATTGAATTTGCATGATTTTTTACAAAGTTTATGTATTAATGTATTTGTCAACATCTTTTGATTTGTTTAAGCAATTGTCCCAGTCTCAATGAAGGTGCTTTTTGAATAGTGATCAATGTTTAACAATTGTAATAGTGTATGTTTGACAACTATAATGGTGTAGACTAGTAGATTGGACTGTGGAATTTCTTATGGTGGGCTTACTTTCATTCTCTATGTTATATTATTATAAGGTGTTTCTATTTCTATATTTAATTCTTGTCACCTACTATTGAGGAAATTATATATTGACTTCACGATGTTGCTATTGGCTGAATTGTGTTCGTTTTGGTTGAAACTTGTATCACTTAATATTTTTTGCTATATTTTGGCCAACAAGTAGTCAAATGTCTATCCATAGTTTCTAGTATTGCTCTAAAACTATAGCGATCCCGGATTTACCCTTGTTGTATAGTGATCCGGACATGTGTCCGCGGATGTTGGTAGTTGATCATTATCTTGTTTACATCCTTTCTTACTCTGTATTTGAGTTATAGGATGTGTTGGGCAGGTTTGCAACAGGTTGGTTGAACTTAAAAACCAAGAGTAGTTGCCCAGATTTTGGCCTTCATGCTCAAGCGGGGATTTTGACGCTCGAGCGAGCTCTTCGTTGTTGTCTGTCCGAAATAACACATTTATCTTAAACCTGAGGAACTGAATTGTGCTAAAAATTTGTATATTAACAAGGGGAGAGCTAATGTATACGCTAGTAGTTACAAAAAGGATGGACGAAAATTAGCCCAAATTTACAAACAGAAACAAAATATAGAAA